TCTTTTATATAGGTTGTACGCCTTTTATATAAATCATGAGTCATACTCCTTTGGGCCTCTCCCCAGCCAAGCAGCAGGACTGCCTTGGTGGCGCTGAGGGTTAGGTGTTGAGTTGCTATGAGACAGGTTGACAGACACTAAGGAAGAAAGATGAGAGTTACTGTTTTGGAAACCTCGTTCCGGGGCACTATGAGTTACTGTGTACTAGATGCCCGGGGGGCTTAGACTTTATTTATTTATGGGGGGGCGGGGCTTGGATTTTTTACTTAAACCCCGCTTCTATCCAAAATCCCTTTGTGTATCCCTCTGGCCTCACCCCCTCCACGCTGCGTACACTCTTTGCTGCTCTTTCGCCCCCCCGCAGCCTTGATCCCTGCCGTCTGTTAGGTGCAAGAACTACAGGCTCGGCAGCACGAGGAGGCCATGAAGGCCGAGAAATGGCTCTTTGAGTGCCGCAACCTGGAGGAGAAATATGAGTCCGTGACCAAGGAGAAGGAGGTGAGGCCGCAGTCCCGCTCCCAAATCCGGCTCCCACCACAGTGCAGCAGCCCAGTACCCTGGAAACTGCAGGCCCCTCATGTGGTTCTAACTCCCATCCCTCCAGCGGTTGCTGGCGGAGCGGGACTCCCTGCGAGAGGCCAACGAGGAGCTGCGCTGTGCACAACTGCAGCCAAGAGCGCTGACCCAGGCCGGTGAGCTGGGGGCGGGACCCGGGGGACCTGGAGCCTTGGGTCTGGAAAGGGGTGTTGTGGGATCTCACTGGCCGGTACTGCTGTTCCTCAAACCAAACCTGTCGTCATTGGGTTGATTCCAACTCAAAGTGAGCCTAGCAGCCTTTGTCGTTGCGGTTATTAACCCAAAGGTCTGTTTCGCTAAAGGTTTACAGCCTTGGAAACCCACTGGGAGCAGGGCTTCCATGGCCTACAGGGACTGAGCCCATCCCAACCGCAGTGGAGCGGTGGGTTGGGGCTTCTACAGTGACCCTATAGGAGGGAGTAGAAAGATCCCATAGGGTTTCTAAGGCCTTAATACTTACAGCAGCAGACGGCCACACCTTGTTCTTTTATTGTGACTGGTGAATTGGAACCACGAACCTTTTCGTTTAAAAGATGAGCGCTTAACCACAGGGCTCTCTGGAGTGCTGCTAGGACACACTGAAAGGGCTTGTCCAGGCCGGGGACAGAGCTAGACCCATCTGGATCGGAGGCTGGAGGAGAAAGGGACGGGGCCTCTCCTGGGGGGTCTCAGGATGGCACAAAGGCATGCAGCAGGCGGAATCTCGTGACACTCCTCCATCTAAGATGTCTAGGCGTCTAGGCAAACTTGAGCTGAAAAGATGACCTGGAGGGAAGTGTGCACACCTCAACTTTATATATATGTATAATTTTATTGTATTGTATTGGCATTCTTTAGACCCATCACTAGATCCCTCCTCAGCGGCTGTGGAAAACTTAGCTGCGGAGATCCTGCCAACTGAGCTCAGGTATTCTGGGGGCTGGGGGTTCTGGGCCCACTCAGTCATGCCAGGGCCTGCCCTTGGCCCTCGGCCCATCTTAAAGTGAGAACCCCATTGCTCACTCTGAGGGAACTCAGTTCTCAGGGTCTGCCCCACTTCTGGCCCTGCCCATTCTCCCTCCCAGGCCCAGATCCCTACTCAATATACAGAGTAGGCCCACCCCATATCGCTGCACCCCAAGTCCCCAATCTGCCTCACTCAACGCCACGAAGCCATTCCAACTCATGGCAACCCTAGAGTAGAAAAGCCCCAGGGGGCATCTGAGGCTGTCTATCTTTATGGGGGTAGAAAGCCTCATCTTTCCCTCTCGAAGTGGTTGGTGTTATTGAACTGCTATCCTTGTGGTTGGCAATCCCTAAACACATCCAGATTATTCTAAAGCCTCCGATTCTTAGTCCACCGGTGGCTCTGCCTACCCTGGTTGCCATTCTTACCTTTCTCAATCTCCTGGTTCTGCGCTCAAACCCATGCTGAGTTCAACTCCCTGTGCCTTTCCCAGGCAAATGCAGCACACCATCCCTGTGTGTCCCTGCATTCCCTTTCAGTGGTTGTCAACCTGTGGGTCCTCACCTCTTTGGGGGTCGAACGGCCCTTTCACAGGAGTTGCCTGATTCAGGACAGTAGCAAAATGAGAGTGATGGAGTCGCAACGAAAATAATTTTATGGTTGAGGGGTCACCACAACATGAAGAACTGTATTAAAGGGTCACAGCATAAGGAAGGTTGAGACCACTGCCTCAGATGGTCCCCCCCTAGTCCTTCCCTGTAAACCCACCTTTCCCCGGCTCCACCCCTACCTCAGTTGACAGCCCCGCCCACTGACTCCCCCATTTTTGCACCCCAGGGTTTCACATCCTGCCTG